GGGGGGGGGGGGGGGGGGGGGGGGGGGGATATACCGGGAAAAACCAGGACCAACCGGAAACTGAAACTGGGACGAAGAAAGGGAAGAGTGGAAATAGAGAGATGCTAATGAAGGGTCAAGACCTCGCATCGGTGTGGGGCGTGCGCTCAAAGCTCGATGGCAACGAGCACGAGGCCGGACCTGAGCGCCAGTCCAGAGACCGGGTCAGTGTCGGGCAGCCTGTGCGGACCGGCACTGAAGTGGTCGGAGGCCTTGTCACTGCCGCTGGTGGTCTGTGCGGATGCAGCGACAAGAGCGCCGCCTACGTAGCAGAGTCCGTGGAGCACCGAGGCAAAGTCACGCAGCGCGCGGTCGAGGCAGATCATGACCGAGTCGCAGCCGAGCTTCTCGCTGGCCGCGTCGAGCACGGCGAGCACCTGCTCGCGGAGCACGCTCGCGTCGACGATAGCGGGCATGCTGACGTACAGAGTGCGCTGTGCGTCCGCCGAGCTATCGCTGCTGCTGGTGGAGGAGAAAGAGCTGGAGGCGTGCGCCGACGCGGGGCCAGCAGCCGAATGCGACTTGATGACCGCGCCACTCCAGCCGGGACTGACGAGCTCGACGCCGGCATCCTCGACGGACAGGTTGTGCGGCACATCGGCAAAGATGCGATGCAAGAAGGCGTGCGCCGACTTGTGCGCGTGGTGGCGGACGTCGTTGTCGGGACTGATCTCGGGTGTGGCGGGCATGAGCTCGACAGACAGAGTGCCTCTGTGAGCAGCGGCGACCGGGTGCGTTGGCTTGGAGCGATGCGAGGCATCTGAATGCAGCAGGAGCGACTGCGCCGCCAGCGTGAGTTGAGCAAGCGTGGCCTGCGAAGCGTCATCCGAGACGTCGGAGCCGTCGTCGCTTTCGAGCTCGCTGTCGCAAGGGGTGTGTCCGGTGTAGATCGGATCGACTGCATCTGCGTCCCTTGCGGCCTCGGTGGGCAAGGAGTGCGCCGAAGGAGAGATGCGAGGTTGGTGCTGCTGCTGAAGCTGCGCCTGCTGCTGCTGCTGTGCGCGCTGAAGTTGAGAAAAGGAGCCGGATTCGATCAAAGATGGCATCTGCACGGGGCGGAGGCCGGGTGAATGAGGCGGGGTATCGGGCGGAGAATCAGGGAGCTGATGGTCCGCGAGGGTTCGTCGATCGATGGACGCGCTGCCCACGTCGGCAGCACGTGAGGGGCGGAAGATGGGCACTGCTACCGCGGGCGCGGGCATGCCGCTGCTGTATGCCCTGTTCCACCCCTGAGGATGGGTGGTCGTAGCCACAACGCCGGCCATCTGCTGACCATGCTGCTGGTGGGGCGACAGAGTGGAGACGGCGGCGGTGTTGACGTTGGCGCTGGTGGCCAGAGGGTTGGATGTGAAAGCTTGCTGCGAAGCGACCCCTCTCACAGGTGCACTTCGACCTGGATGTTGCAAAGTGGGTGTGGATCCAGGCATTTCTGCTTTAAGGACGTCAGGACCACCACTTGACCACGGTGCTCAACGTGGTGGACTGCTGCTGGCTCCGGGGCGAGCCAACAGCAGCGTGGGTGGAGGTGAGAGCCGAGCGAGCGGGGCTGAGGCGCGCGGAGGAGACCCCATCGAGGCCAGCACCTGCGCTCGGGCTGCTGGCGGGGGATCGACTGGGTTGATTCAGATTATTGGCGGTCATGGTTATAATGAGCGGGCGAACAGCTTGGCGGTGATGGTGTTGGGTGAGCCGGACCGACGTGGACCGAGGAAGGCTTGAAGTCGTAAAGACGAGCGTAGACGCGCTGGATGCAATCGTGGATGGGATGATGAGGAAAGGATGGCCAGTTGCAATTCACGGTCAGTGGCTGCGCCAAATGTGCCTGGCCAGCCCTATCTCTCCGCGCGATTTTGGTCAGCTGCTCAGATGCTCAGCTGACTGTAGAAAGTCGGAACAGCCGGTCCAGGCTTGCCAGAGAGAGCGAGCGTGAGACTCGTTTTTTTCCGCGCTTTTCCACGGCCTGGAGCCTAAGCTGGGCTTGGCAGGGTGTCGCTGCATCCAACGCGCTCTTAACGAGAGCCGCTAAACGAATGGCGCCATTTTCAGCTCCGGCACTGCGATGCACTCGCACGAGATGAAGCTATTAATAATCTGCAAATCTGGTTGGGTCGGGATCGGGCCTCGGATTTTTCCAGATTTCAGGGTCGTCCTCCACCTCTGCAGAGTGCTGCACCTCGAGCCGCTGAGCTTTGGGGCGCCTGCCATCCCACAACCGACCGTCTTCGAGTCTCGTTGGACCTGGCGTGGACGTTGAGCGATGCCGCTGCGCAAGGAGCCACCAACGCCGCGCTCGGCCGCGGTGGCCGCACGGCTCGACGGCGCACAACAAGCCGGCACGTCTTCAGCCACCGCCCTGGGGCCGCTCATCCCGGTGCGGCCCGGAGAGACGTCGCTGCGGCGCCAGGCGATCCTGACGGAGGACGAGTATACGTCGGCGCTATCAGCGGTCATCAAGCGCGACTTCTTTCCGGACCTCGATCGCATGACGGCCGAGAACGAGTATTTGGCAGCCGTCGAGGCCGACGATCCGCGCCGCATCCGGACGGCGCTCGAACGGCTGCTGAGCTTCGATGGTCAGCAACGCCGCCCTGCGTCCACAGCGCGCACGACACGCAGCTCGGGACGACAGACGTCCGCTACAGGTGCGAGAGCGACGAGGGGCGAGTGGGACGACACGCCGGTAGCGTCTGCTTCGACGTCCAAGGTCTTTGACCCCACGCTCACGCCTGCCATCAGCACACCTGGCCTGGACGCGCCGCTAGAAGAGCAGGGCTCGGACGAGGCGGAGCCGAGCTCGGGGATTGTGCCCGACGTGAGCCTGTCGCTCGCCGACTTTCAGGCGCGCTACACGAGCGAAGACAACGCGAGCTTTGCGCAGCTGCTCGAGCGCGGCAACGAGGAGCGCAAGCGCAAGCATGCGTGGCTGTACGCGCGCGAGCGTGCGTCGATCGAGCAGCGCCGTCGCATCCAGTCCGTCGAGCGACAAGAGGCAGAGGTCGGGCGCAGGCTGGCCATCGAGGCGAATCCAGACCATCCAAAGTTGATTGCCGAGGGAAAGACCAAGCTTCTCCTCGAAGGCAAGGGCGGCAGCAAGGCGACGGAGCCAGAATCGGCACCATCACCAGAGCCTAGACCGAAGCAAAAGGCGGATCCGATGGACGATCTCATCCTCGTACCGGAACCACGGCGAGACGACCGCCGCGCGCCGCCGGGACTGGGTCGGTGGAAGTACACCGCGCGCAATGCGCTCCTCTTCGGGCCGGACGCCAACGCCGATTATCTGCGCCCACCCAGCGCAGAAACCGCTACCGACGGCGAAGCCACGACGAACTTTGCTGCGATCCGGAGGCTGGATGGGAGCGGAGGAGCGAGCGGCGTCGAGGCGGAGGGTTCGAGTGAGGCCGGGTGGTCGCCGAGCAGTTCGCGTGTGGATGCGGCGATTGCACGCGGGCGTGCTGGCTCGATCGCGTCGTCTTTCGACGCGCACGACTCGCCCCGAGTCAACGGGTACGGATTCGTGACGCCGTATCTGACGCCGCAGCATGCACTCGACGACGAGCATCTACGGATCTACAATGCGATCAAGGCGCGGCGCACGCCCGTCGATGCCGACGCACACACGCAGCGCAGCGCGGGAGGGATGGGGTTCGAGTTGCCGCGTTTGGACAAGCGCGAGGAGCTGGCACAGAGGCTCGTGTCGACGCCATCGTCGGCCAAGCGCGCCAAACCAAGTCCGTACGGCACGCAAAAGTACGGCGGACTGGCACAGTTGAGAGCGCGCGCGTTCGCGTCGCCTGCCAAGCAGAGCGCAGCCGCTCTCAGTCCGGCAGCAAGAGCGCTGCTCGATCGAAGCACTCGGACGCTCACCCCCGCTCCATCCGTCACACGCACTGCCTCCGCTCACGGCTCTACCACTCCAGCCGTCCGCATTGGAGATCGAGGCTGGACACCTACACCACAGCATCCACAACGTCGCGCACGCTAACTCACACCACACACTGTATCAATGTCCTATCCATGTGCATTCATTTCATTACTAACGTGAGCGGTGCGATATTTAGGCCTCGTTGGGGCGGATGATGACCTTGACGCCCGAGACGCCGTCCTTGTTGGCCTTGAGCGCCTTCTCGACGGCGTTCAGACCGCCCTCGACCACCATGGGTCTGTTGAGCGTAACGTCACCCTTGGCCACGTAGCCGTTCTCGCCGCCAAGGTGTGCAGCAAGAGGTTCCGAGATGTAGCGATACTCGGGATGCGAGCCGATGCCGAGGATAGCGACGACCGAGGTGTCGGGGAGATCCTTCTCCTCGGACTGCTTGACCGCCTTTTCGTCGGCGGGCATGACGACGAGCACCTTGCCACCCTTGAGCGCCTGCAGGATCTGGACGCCCAGCAGCTGCGTCGAGGGCGACGAGATGGTGTCGTACACAAAGTCGACGCTCGAGTCGGACGGGATGGCCTTGACAAATGCCTCGGCCGTGGTGGCTTGGGAGCGGTCGAGCACCGTAGTGGCACCCAGCGACTTGAGGTGGTCAAAGTGGGACGCCGAGCACGAGGTGACAATGTGGTCGAAGCCAGACAGCTTGGCGAACTGGATCGCGTACTGGCCGACGGACGAGGAGCCACCGAGGATGACGGCGGTCTTGCCCTTGCAGACCGACGCGCCGTCAGCGTTCCAGGGAGGCGAGAGCGACATG